GGGGGGGGGGGGGGCTGTGTGTGCTCTGTGGGATATCTGGGGGCGCACACGGCCCCACTCCTCGTTGGGGACTAGGCATAAAAGGGGAGCTCCCTGGACGATCAGGGCCAGTCGTAGCTCAAGACCCAAAACCCAAGACCAGCCATCTGAGGACCCTGGGACGCTGTGAGAGCCAGTGGTGGGACTCTGGAACTCCCGACTCTACGACCTTGTGAGGGCGAGTTCCAGAGCATAGCCAGAGTAGAGTATCTAGGCTGCGTATCTAGGCTGTGTACCTAGGCTGTGTACCTGGGAGTTGTTACAGAGTATCAGGACTGTTGGACTGTTAGAGTGTTGGACTGTTGGAGTGCTGTTACAGAGTAATAAAGAAGTTACCTCTACAAGTGTCTCCGGAACCCGTTACACATACATCCTTGAGCAATTTGGAGGAGAAGTTACATCCCTGATCCGTGAGCAGCCCTTCAGGTGCTCCTTTATCCATGACGTAACCATTCAAGAAAGCCTCGGTGATGGACGCTGCCGTTTGGTCAGGCAGAGGCCAGGCCATAGGCCATTTGTTTCCCCTAGCCGATGGAGGGAACGGGCCCAGGATGTCCAGAGCAACTAGTTCATTGATACGAGATACCTCAATCGAACCGAGTGGCGGAACATAATGTTGCCGAGGCGGTTTCCTCTTCGCACAATCATGGCATGACCGGACAAAGTCAGTGACATCTGCCGTCATGCCGGACCAAAAGAAATCCTGCTGCATCGCGGCCAACGTTTTCTGCACGCCGAGGTGCATCAATTTGTCAGCGTGCAGAGCGCGGAGCAGGTCGTATAGAAGGGATGTCGGCACGACCAGGCGTGAACGGTCAGACAATCCATCAGTACACATCAATGGTCCCGCCTGGCCCCGGAGCATCTGCCATTTCCATCCCGCCAAATGAGCTCTCGGTTTCCCGATCAGTTTCCGCAGCGGAGCCAGAGAGGCATTGGCCTCCTGCTCGCGTAGCCAATCGAGTGCGGCAAACGCAGTGTATCGTCGGCGCCAACGGGTACATACTCGCCTTCATCGTTCGACATTGCCCCCATAACCGGACAGGGCGAGGTAGGCAGCGCTGCACAGCGGTGCGTACCCGTCAGACAGGCGCAGGGAGGAGTGGGTGGCAACCTGGAGAGAGCGTCCGCATTGGCATGGCGAGTACCCTTGCCGTACGTGATATCGAAGGAAAATTCCTGTAATGATTCCAACCACCGAGCCAATTGGCCCGATGGTTGGTCCAATTTCAACGAATATTGCAAGGCCGCGTGGTCAGTGCGCACGAGGAATTTCCTTCCATACAGGTACGGCCGGTACTGGCGAACAAAATGTATGATCGCTAACAGTTCCCGTCGCGTCACGCAATATCGCGTTTCGGCAGGGGACAGAACCCTGCTGCAGTATGCCACCACTCGCTCGACTCTGTCTTTCCGTTGCGACAAAACGGCTCCTATGCCGATATCACTAGCATCCGTGTCAAGGATGAACGGCTGGGAAAAGTCTGAGTAGTCGAGCATAGGCGCCATGGCGAGGTGATTCCGAAGAGATTGAAAAGAGCGTTCCTCTTCCGGGCCCCATTTAAATCTCTGATTTTTCTCCGCAGAACATGCAGTGGCTTAGCCAGTGTCGCGAATTTCTTAACAAAATGGCGATAGTAGGATGCAAACCCAATAAACTGCCGTACGTCGCCCACTTCAGTGGGCGTGAGCCACTCTCGGACACACTCCATTTTCTGAGGGTCCGTGGACACACCGTCCGAACTGACGATGTGACCCAAGTATCGGACGGACCGTTGCAAAAGATGGCATTTCTTTGGTTTAAATTTTAGGTCAGCCGAGCGCATCCTCTGAAAGACCGTCTCCAGGCGTTGGAGGTGTTCCTCGAACGTGCGGCTGAATACGATATCGTCCAAATATATGAGGCATGTTTCCCACTGCAACCCCGCTAGCACCAGTTCCATCAGGCGTTGGAACGTCGCCGGTGCCGCATTTAAGCCCATAGGTAAATGGTTAAACTCAAAGAGGCCTTGTGGCGTGCGGAACACCGTTTTTGGTTTTAACGCGTCATAGAGGGGAAGCTGCCAAAACCCAGACGACAGGTCGAGGGTGGAGAAAAAATTTGCCCCTGACAAAGTGTCCAATGAGTCGTCCATCCGTGGCAAAGGGTATGCGTCTGCCACGGATATCTTAGTCAATCGGCAGAAATCCACACAAAACCTCGTCCCACCATCTTTTTTCTTAACCAGCACCACCGGCGCGCCCCAAGGACTGTTGGACGGCGAAATTATATCAGCCGCCAACATATCGTCCACCGCACCGCGCACGTGTTCCCTTTCAGCAGGGCTCATGCGATGGGGGTGCATACAAATCGGTCCCTCCGCACCGGTGTCAATATGGTGCGACAAGAGCGAGGTATGGCTGAGATCCAAATCGTTTTTACTGAAAACGTCAGCGTACTCTAACAGTAATGAATGCAAAGCGCTCCTTTGCGTGGTCGACAAAGACGTATTTTCCCCGCACAAATCTGCGATCCATCGATCCTGTGAACGATCGCATCGAGGTCCCTCAGTGGTTATTTTAGTGGGTCGTTTACCCTCAAAGCTGGTGAAATCGTTAGTGGCGTGAGCCAATACTGATCCAGCCGGAACGACGACCCGGTCCGGGCCCCCATTCAACACTTGTATGAACGGGGCCTGACCCGGCCGAACGATAGTTTGAGCCGCTACCAGGGAAAAAGATTTAGCCACCGAATTCGACGGGGATAACAGCACACCCGTCGCACCGTCCGCAGCATCCAAAGGCTTTCAGTAACGCAGCAGAATAAGCATTTGTGAGCCCGACGGCACCTCTACCGTGGCAGCAACAATCGCGTTAACTGCGTTACCCATGGGCGGACGGCCCAGCAGGAAAGGCAGGAACGACATCCTACGGCCCCCTGGCATTTCTAAGCAACCTTGATCGACAAGTATCTTAACTGGCATGCGGCGCAAGAAATCGGTGCCTAATAGGCATGGGACGGCCAGTGAGCGAGAAATCAACACTGGTCCCTCCGCGGTAATATTCCCGATAGCAATGCGCACATCAACTTGTCTGAAAATACCCATGCTACCCCCATTAGCAGCAACACACGCGTCATTGACCGGTCGGATCCGTGACGTGGGAATAGACAGAAGATGAAAAATGACATCGGAAATGATGGTGGCAGACGCGCCTGTGTCCACCAAAATACGGACATCGATCCCATTGATGGTACCCCGTACCATCGATGAGCCCGACGCGGCAGCTACCACCCTACGGGCCAATTTTTTCCATTGTGTCGTAGAGTGTGGCATCGACACAGGTGTAGAAAAATTTCCGTCTGGAGCGCAAACATGTGTGCGAGTGGATGGGTGATGTGACAAGACCTGCCGGGTGTCCGATTTGTGCCGACTCGCCCGAGGGTGTCGTGGATCCGCGTCCGGTGGAGGAGATGGAAGCCGACCCGACGGGAGCTGAGAAGGCAGAGGTCGGCAGCGGCAATCCCGGGCAAAATGGCCCCATCGGCCACACTTGAAGCACGTGGCCGTCGTCGCCCGGCGGTCGCTTGTCCCGGCCCCTGCACGTGGTCGACCCGTATCATCACGCTGGTCACGCAGCCGGCGTCTCGGGACCCAGCGAGGAACAGCAGCCATCACCTTGTCGTCATCACCGGAGTAATCGGAGCAGTGGATGACCCGCCGTGAAGACCACCTCGACGGTGGACCGTCTATTTGGGGATTCCCCGTCCACGCCGCCATCTGATCCTATCGCTTCAGATTGAACTTAGCGTCCAAGCAGCGCGCCACCCAACGCGACGTGAGCGGTTTGTGGCCACATACCGGCAACGAGATGTTCAGTTCCTGGGATAGCTCCAGCATTCGGGAAAGATTGAGAGGTCAGCCGACGAGTCGTAGTAGGCGGCCATGGCCAAAGCTAACAGCGCCCCCCGGTAAGCCAAGGGCGATTCCTCTGATCCTCGACGACATGACATAAATTTTTTCGTAGCCGCTATCGGCGGGTCATAAAACTCCGCCATTTCTGCGAAAGCATCACGCAGCGTCTTCTTCTTGGTCGCCGGGATGGATCGGAAGACCGCCAGGGAGACATCATCCAGCAGCGTGGGTAGCGCCTCCAGTGGCTCCGCCTCCATCCATCGAACGGATCTAAAAGCCGACTCGAAGCGCCACGTGAAGGCACTCCAATCGCCCCCGGTGATAAATTCCTTGATTTGAGGAAGGCGATGTCCGCGGTGAATGTCCGACGCCTCGAGCGTCTCCATTCCCGCTTCCCGCGTTCTTCGCGGCTCCATCAAAATGGCGTCCGGCGGCCACGTGGCGACAGCCCCGCCCAAGATGGCGTCCGGCGGCTCCATCGCAGCCACCCCGCCCAAGATGGAGGCCTCTCCCCGCGCGGCAGGAGCAATGGCAGATGTCGATTCCCGCTGAAAATGCACTCGGCTGAAACCCACGTGGCCGACCAAGGGCCGCTGAAGATGCGACCGCCGTCACCAGATTCAGCAAAATCGCGCGGAGCAACTCGATCTGCTCTGCCATTAGCCGCCATCCCTTGTCCGCAGTCGAGGCCATCGCTTCTCCAGCCTGTCGGCGATGAGCGGCGTCAAGGAGAGCAGCAACCGGAGGCAGAGGACCCGCAGCTTCCAGCAGTTCGTCCTCGTCCGCCTCAACTTCTTCTTCCGACGGAGGGTCCGGTGGGTTCTTCTTCCTGAGGTGCTTGGACATCTTGAAGGATCATCCAAACGGTCTCAGAAGATTCTTCTGACACCAATGTAATAAAGCTCGTTGAGGTGACTTCTGGAATTCGTCTTTTATTCAACTTATCTTACAGTTTACTTCACGCTGCTGATAGGCAGCGTGAGAGGGACAGATATAGAGAAAGATGCACTGCCACGTGGCAACTCGGAGCCCCGCTCCCCCGTTGGCCTCCCCCCTCTGTTCGTTCCCGTTCTGACCACGTGTCGTTCGTCTCCACCCCTATTTAATACCTGGGTTACGTGGTACGTTTCTGCCAATCCTCGTTAGCCTGCATGGAATCTTCCAGGCTCCCTCGTCATCTCCCGGGACCACGCCCCTGACTCATCTCCCCATTGGCTGTGGCCAAAGCCAGCAAAACCAATCCTTATAGCTGTGTACCTTTCCGTCACACCAGGGCCATGCCCCCAGGCTTCCCCCCATTGGCTGTAAACCAGGACCGGCAGAGCCAATCACCATGACGAGTTGTGATACATCAGTGAGCCGGATATATCCTCATATTACACATATATACACTGTCACACATGACTTACACGTCCATACTTTTTCATATATTCATGATATAGTAAAAAAGATTCCCCAATTCATCACACGGGCTGTTAAGGCATGCATATGCCTGGAAACCCTAGTATCTTCAAAACTCCAAGGACACAATTTTTGCTGTCTGGCTACAAAAATAATATTTATAATAATTCAGCAAACATAGCAAAGGATGTAGAAAATAATACTATTTGTATTATGCAGAAATGTATAAATGTATGTTCAATCGCAACTTAGAGGCGTGAAGCCAGGCTCAGACTTGTTTGAATGCTTTGATGAACAGATCTAACTTCAGCTGGAAATGTGTTGTTAATTTCCTGCCTTTATCCATTCTTAGAAAAAGTTCCAGAAGAAAACAGAAATAAACAATTGTTTTGATTTAACCTGCGTGTTCAATGGAGTTAATATATTTTACAGCAGACACAAACTTGACACTGTCACACACTGGCATGGTAAATGTGGTGGTGTGTCCAGAACCATGCCTGGCCACCTTCATCTGCTCAGTATTAATGTTTCCTCACTTCACCATGTAATTAATTGAGGATCAATCAACATAGAAGTCCATAATAAGTTCAGCTTTCACCTATCAATGATGTTTGCTGTCGACGATTATCAAACTCTTAATTGTTGAATTTATAATGCAGTGATATAACTTCGCCACCGCTCCTCACATAGATAAAGTCTTATATACACATACATTGCACGTGGATCATTAACATAAGCTATAAAAATCAGCCACCCTTCCAATCAGATGCTTACCCTGGTTTCCCGCCGTTCGTGGCTCCGCCCCCTACCTGCCTGCTAACCCGTCTGTGTTGTGTGTGTCTTAACCGAGGTGGCTGAGTAGCTTCGTCATGACCGTGTAATTTCACATTAATTCACGGCGCCGCAGTGCCATTAAACCTCGGGGAAGCCTCGGTCAATTCCCTGGCCCCAGGAAACCGTGGAGAAGGTTCCCCACGAGGAGGGCTCCTGTGTGAAAAACTGTAGGCCAGGTGACTTTTCCGCGAGGCTCTAGGTGGGGGTGTGTGCGTGTGTTCATGTGGGGGGTGGTGAGGGAAGAACAGCATCGGCCAGGTCGCTCCGTGGTGTGGGCATCGCGGGTGCGGCGCCGGCAGAGCGGCTTCGCCGCTGTGGCATCACATAGACCCCGAGGTGCCTGTCCCTGTCCCTGGTTGACTGGAGCACCTCGCCTGGGCTGCCCCCACGAGGTAGCGCCACGGGGTCCATGGGACTCGCCCGGCCCTCGTGGCCGGCCTCGGGGGTGGTGGCTCTGTCCTTGGGGGTTCCCGCGGTGGTCTCCTTCTCCACTCCAGCGGCTCCTTTTGTCCCTAGGCACCTGCAGGCTGGGGAACAAACTCAGAGGCTGAAGGCTTTAGGGGCCGTCGCCCCCGCAGTCCCCCGGCTAGGCCAGGGCCTTTCGGGGCCCAGGGCCTTGCGGGGCCCATATAGCATGCGAGGCCCCCGAGCATGCGGGGTGTGGGGACACCAGGATTTCGGGGCACCCAAATGGCGGGGTCCTCCCTCGCCGGGGCTGCCTTCCATAGTTTTAATCGGCGGACGTTGACCACCATCTCTCGGCCCCTCTCCCCACCCTGGATCAGCACCGTCCAGGGGGAAATCTGCCGCACCATGGTCCAGGGTCCATGCCAGTAGGTCGTTAGTTTCCCCACCTATCCCGTGCCGAGGCGAGGGGTGTGAAGCCACGCCTTAGAGCCTGCCGAGAAGAAGAAGGGCTTCCATACGGGGTCGGGCGCCCTGCTCCTGCCGCCGATGCGTGGCCTTTCCTTGCGGGTAGGCACGGCCCCGGGCCCCTCGTAGAGTCTCCATCAGGTGCTCCATGGGGCGGCTTCCTTTCTCCGGTTGTGGTGGGGGAACGCCGAACAGCAAATCTGCGGGTAGACGAAACTCACGGCCAAACATCATTAAGAACGGGGTCTGTCCCGTCGACGTGTGTACTGTGGTGGCGTAGGGGAACAGGGCATAGGGGAGGTGTTCGTCCCAGTCCTGCTAGTTGGTGGTCTGGTTCAAACGCTCCACCATACGGTTCGCCTGGGGGTGGTACGCCGTGGTTCGGTCCTTCTGGATTCCGAACTCCCAGCACAGAGCCTGAAACAGCTCTGCCTCGAACTCACTACCTTGGTCGGTAGTGACTCGTTCGGGGATCCCATGTTTAAGTACGTAGTGATCCACGAATGCCTGGGCGACCACAAGGGCCGCCGGGGATGGCCACCGCCACGGGTTAGTGTGAAGTACTCCACTGCTACGAGGATATATTGGTTGCTCCGGTGGAATCGGGGAGATGGCCCCTGTAGGTCGATCCCAACCAGCTGGTTCGTCCAACGAATGTGGAACGGCCTCAGGGGTACCTGATATCGTGCCGGTTTCTGAGTAGCCTCGTCGTGACCGTGTAATTTCACATTAATTCACGGTGCCGAAGTGCCATTTAACCTCGGGGAAGCCTCGGCCAATCCCCTGGCTCCAGGAAACCGTGGAGGTTCCCCACGATGAGGGCTCCTGGGTGAAAACCTGTGGGCCAGGTGACTTTCCCGCGAGGCTCTAGGTGGGGGTGTGTGCGTGTGTTCATGTGGGGGGTGGTGAGGGAAGAGCAGCGTTGGCCAGGCTGCTCCGTGGTGTGGGCATCGCGGGTGCGGCGCCGGCAGAGCGGCTTCGCCACTGTGGCATCACAATATCATCCCTGGGGCCCGGCCCAGGGGTTGTGTTTGCCAACAAGCACCTTGTGGCCGGGTGACCCACGTTTCCCGGTCTGGCCCAGCCTGAAATGGCTACGTGGCACCCTCCAGTGCGCCCGCCATCTGCAGATCGAAGGGTGAGGGGCGGGTGTGATGCCAGTATGGCAGGGAGAGGGATGGTCTCAGATGGACTTGATCTTGGCGATGGACACTCATACAGATTTGTATGCAGCCAAAGTCCAGGCAGCTTCCACAGTGTTACAGTCTAAAAAATAATGCTGTTCGACACATGAACCAGGTATGGGAATTTATCCACCACTTGTAGAACTGCCTGATTATTATTGGAGAGCTGAGCAGGTGCAGTGTTGTAGGACATGGATTCCCAAGCAGGTGATATATTTTTGTGGAACATATGCAAGGCCGCATTTCATGATGGAATTATTCAGGCATCAGAACAAGATTCCCTAACTCTATCTCATTGAGTAGCCATTACCAGATCATCAGCAGATAAAACAGTGCTGACCAGCAGGGAATGGTCCCTTAACTATAACCAGTCATCGAAAAGCGAATTATTGTAACTGCAACAAATGCAATTTATTTATACGGCCATTGTGAGCTTCTCAAACTACATAATTATTGAAGATGCTATGTAATGTAATGCATTGGGCCAGAGTGAATTTCTGTCACAAGCGGAGTTGAACAGGAAATGGCTCCAACTCCTGGTCACGCACCTTTAGATGGGCCTGCCCAAAATCCTAAAAATCCTCAACGAATGTGAGCAGAGGCAGAGACATCGAAATTAAGGAACCCAAAGCACCAAGCCTCTTTATGGTACCATAGGCCTTAATTACATCAAGAAAGCAGAGATCTAGTTTCTAGTAAAAATCCGTACTCCCCAGCTGTACTCGATCGACATAAAATACAGCCGCTCCTTGAATATCGGAGGTTACGTTCTTGGAAAGTGCCACGCGACAGCTAAAAACGCGATTTTCAATACGTCGGCCTTACCCAAGTAATGGCGTTAGGTAAACGTCAACTAAAATTTACATCACAATTGAAATAAGTACTGTATTCCAAATCAACTAAAAACCAAACAATTGAAATAAACATTGGGAAACCGTGTCTCATGCTTTTGGTTACAGGTCTATCCAACACTTATGGTCACACATGCTGTCTGCTTCTACTCTACATTGTCCGAAAAGTCCTCCCAAACCTCCACATCCACAAATGGCTGTGATTTGTCTCGGGCTCCATTAGCTACCTAAAAGTCAAACCCTAGAGCCTTCACAGGTCACCTTTTAGGAATGCATGTGTTCAGTACAAGCCACTTGTGGAATGGTTTGTGAACAATGTCTCAACAGTCCAGCCTGCTTCAACAGATGTTCATCAGCAAGGTCCATTTCAAGTCTCAGTTCCAAAAAAATGTATATACGTAGTACAAAATGATAATTAGTGTTCTTGTGGAGAATGTATCTCCTATACGTAACTTTTAAGTGGCATACCTTAACTGATGAATGATCCGATATATGCTCCAGATTTCAAAGACAATGAGTTGCCCCAGAGTCCGATGCGTCCTGATTCACAAAAATACCCTTTGACCCGTATCACAAAAACAACAGCTCTCATGTGAGTTATATGTAGAGATTACCACCAAAACAGATACTTTGTCCGGACATCACATATTCCATGTTTGACATTAATACACAAAATATTGTATGTACGTACAGAATCAGACAGGTATTATTTCAATTATGATTCAAAATAATCAAAAGGCACATTGGCAACATTTTATTACTATACTGAAATGTACTGCGTCACGTTGCAACGTATTTACAAGTTGATCTGGCGAGATTAGGCCTATATGTGCCGCACTCTCATAAAGGGAAGCCAAGTAGTAGTACATTCTCTATTTGTTGCAGAGGTTAAAGGTTCAAATCCGACTGGCATATCAATCATCACCCCCGACTTACAAACTCATATCCACATGCAGGCTAGTGAACAATCACCTTGTGACAAACAGGGGCAGATGCCCATTATGGGCACCCTTCGAGTGTTTAAGATGATATATGATAGAAAACACTTGAGTCGCTCCTGATTCGAGAACGACCCAACCCACAGATCCACAAATACTGGCCTCTCTTACACTGTAGTTTGAACCTAGAAATTGAGTGTTCAACTTCACATTATTTTCATTAGAAAGGCCTGTGACAAAGGTGCATCCATTGGAGCGTACTTGTCTTAAGCTTGCACATCTACCTGGTCTCCATTTGACTTTGTATTGTCTAAGAAGTCCACCCACACCTCCACATCCACAAACTCCTGGGAGTTGCCTCGCTCTGCCTCACAGTCAGAATTTAGTTCCTGCTTCACACTGCCTCCACCTATGTGAAGGTCCAATTTTGGAGTTGAAACATCTTCACATTTAACCATCACTTCTACGCTCTTCACTGTTACTTCTTCACATTTCACCTTCGCCTCTTCATATTTCACCTTGATACCTTTCAAAGTGTCCAGGCTGGGATTGTCTTCTGGTTCTTGTTTCATGAACAATGGGGTCATTGCAGCACTTTGACTTTCACAAGCTGATTTCAGATTACAGTTCTTGTTGATTTTCTGATGCTTGTGTGTTCTCTGGTGTCTTTCAAGATTTGATGAATGTGCAAACACCTTCCCACACACAGCGCACTTGAAATGTTCCTTTCCTGTGTGTGTTCTCTGGTGTCTTCTAAGAGCAGATGAATCTGAAAATGCCTTTTCACACACACTGCACTTGAAGGGTTTCTCTCCTGTGTGTGTTCTCTGGTGGGTCTTAAGATTTGATAACTTTGCAAATGCCTTCCCACACACAGTGCACTTAAAAGGTTTCTCTCCTGTGTGTGTTCTCTGATGTGATTTAAGAATGGATGACCGTGCAAACGCCTTCTCACACACAGTGCACTTGAAAGGTTTCTCTCCTGTGTGTGTTCTCTGGTGTGATATAAGAATGGATGACTGTGCAAACGCCTTCTCACACACAGTGCACTTGAAAGGTTTCTCTCCTGTGTGTGTTCTCTGGTGGGTCTTAAGATTTGATGACTTTGCAAACGCCTTCCCACACAGAGTGCACTTAAAAGGTTTCTCTCCTGTGTGTGTTCTCTGGTGTTGTTTAAGAGTAGATGAATCTGAAAATGCCTTCTCACACACACTGCACTTGAAGGGCATCTCTCCTGTGTGTATTATCTGGTGCTGTGTCAAGTTTCCAGTACAATCAGTGATGTTTGCATTCTGGTTGCATTGTTTCCTTCTTGTACCGAGCTGCGCTGAGTGCCTTTGCTCCATCAGACCAATTCTGCAGAGCGAGCGTCAGCTGCAAACAGAAAAGCATGTCCACACCATCTATGTGAGTATTGAGGCACAGAGGAATGCATATATACACAGTCACACATTACTTACACATCTATACATATTCATATTTTCATGATATAGTGAAAGAGATTCCCCAATTCATCACACGGGCTGTTAAGGCACACAATGAGAGGGAAAATGGTCATGAATATGCCTGGACACCCTAGTGTCTTCAAAATGAATGTTTACCAAAAACTCCAAGCACACAATTTAGGTTGTCTAGCTACGACAGGAATATTTGTTTAAGAAAAATTAGCTAACATAGCAAAGGCTGTTGAAAAGAATACTATTTGTATTATGCAGAAATGTATAAATTAATGTTCATTTGCAACTTAGAGGTATGAAGCCATGCTCAGATGAGCTTGAATGTGAGGATGAACAGATCTAACTTCAGCTGCATATGTGCAGTGTTAATTTCCTGACTGTTTCCATTCTTATAAAATCTTGTCCTGTACCTGTTGAATTCCATGATGAAATGGGGCCTTGCATGTTATTACAAAAAGATCACCTCCCTGGGAAAATCTTGACTTAAAACTTTTGTGATAGCGGAAATTCATATTCTTTGGTTATTTCGGTAAAGTCACGTATATAGAAAATAATAATACAAATAAAGTGAATAGAAGAAAAAAAACGACTAATGTAGACTGTAGCCTGGTTCTTAACCTCGGTGAGCGTATTGGCAGTCTATAATGTAGAATATTGTCTGTTTTTTTTAGAAGACCTTTGCAATGGACTAGACCAGGGGTCCTCAAACTTTTTAAACAGGGGGCCAGTTCACTGTCCCTCAGACTGTTGGAGGGTTGGACTATAGTTAAAAAAAAGCTATGAACAAATTCCTATGCACATGGCATATATCTTATTTTGAAGTGAAGAAACAAAACGGGAACAAATACAATATTTAAAATGAAGAACAAGTAAAGTTAAATCAACAAACTTGCCAGTATTTCAATGGGAACTATGGACCTGCTTTTGGCTAATGAGATGGTCAATGTCCGGTTCCATATTTGTCACTGCCAGTCGTAACAAGTGATGCAAGTGTGCATCCGTTAGTCTAGATCTGGTTGGAGATTCCAAATGTTTCATTCTGGAAAAAGTCTGTTCACAGACATAAGTGCTGCCAAAGATGGTTGCCATTTTGAGTGCATGGTTCCTGAGATGAGGATATGTCTCAGAGGGGAGAGATGCATAGACATTATGAAGGCTGCTTGACTTGAATGCGTCTTTCAGAGTCACAATTCTGCAGTTCAGCCAGTTCCATTTGGTAAATTGTATCCACATTTTCAATGTCAATAGAAAATGGGTTACGGAAAAGCTGTATGTCCTGTTCATGGAGATGAAGCTCTTTAAATCTAAATTGGAACTCCTTTTGCAATTTTTCCAGTGAATCCACACATGTTTTGTTTGGGAATTGCAACCAATGGTTTTTCCGCTTACAGATTTAAAGTTTTGGGGAGATGGCAGAAGTTTCCTCCTTAACTTGTTTGATGAGGAGGCCTAATTTTACTTCAAATGCTTTGACATGTGATTGCATATCACAGATGAGCTTCCCCTTTCCTTGAAGTTGCACATTGAAACTGTTGCGTAGCTCTGTTACATCTGTCAGAAAGGCAAGGTGCCATTTCCATTCTGCATCATTGAGCTCTGGTACTTCTTTGTTTTTTGAAAGCAGAAAAGCTGTAATCTGTGGAAGTAAGTCATAGAAACGTTTCAAAACTCTCCCTCGACTCAGCCAACGGACTTCTGTGTGGTACAGAACATCTTCATAGTCAACATTTAGTTCAGACAGAAATTCCTGAAATTGTCTGTGGTTTAGTGCATGAGCTCTAATGAAGTTAACACAAGATTCCACAATTTTCATAACAGAGTCCCACTTCAGTGATTTACTACACAGCGCTTGTTGGTGGATGAGGCAGTGTATGGCTATTGGATGAGAATGGTTATGTTTGTCCATCTCTTGGTTAATGCGAGCAATTACTCCTTTCTTAGACCCCACCATGCTAGGAGCACCATCAGTTGTCACACTGGCTAGTTTAGCCCAGTTCAGCTCCAAACCATTCACAGTTTGGCAAACTTTTTCATAGATATCCTCTCCTGTAGTTGTTCCTTTGATGCTTTGCAGTGCAGCAAGCTCTTCTGAGACTTCAAAATAGTCATTCGTCCCACGAATAAAAATTAGAAGTTGTGCAGAATCACGAACATCATTGCTTTCGTCGAGTGCCAAGGAAAAATAGGAAAGTTTTTTTGTGGAGTTTTGAAAATGCTGATGCAATTTGTCTCCCATTTCTTCAATCCTCCGTGTAATTGTAGGTCCTGAAAGACTCACTGTACTAAATAAATCGGCCTTCTCTGGACACATCTCTTTGGCAACAGAAAGAAGGCATTCTTTAACAAATTCTCCCTCCACGAATGGTCTGCCAATGCACGCTATTAGCTTGGCAACTTGAAAACTTGCTCGCAGTGATGAAATATTTAGCTGCTTCTGCTTCACAAAAGTATTTTGCTGAGTTGTTAATGTATTTTTCAGTTTTAATATTTTATCTTTTCTCACTTCTCCGACCAAACAATTATATTTATCTTCATGTTGAGTTTCATAGTGTCGACGTAAATTGTATTCTTTGAACACAGACACTATATTCTGGCATATCAGACACACAGCTCTTTCCTTGTACTGCATGAAAAAGTAATCATAAGTCCACTGTTCTTTGAATATCCTACACTCCGAGTCAATTTTTCTCTTTCTTGACATCATTGTTTCCTAGGGACTCAAAATTGCTATTAGTAAAATACCAATATATATACAGCACTACAAAAACAATATACCAACAATAACTTTGCCCACACAGAGACATACAGACTGCACTGCCCATCAATGCAGTCTGATTGGGGGAACTCCGCTTTTACCCCAGGCTCACACTGGTGCGGGTGCCATTAAAAAGTGAATTACACCTGCAGTTTTGTTCATAGATCGCAGTACAGCCCAATTAGTGCTCACAAGCGCAGCCCAATTAGTGACCATGGGCCGGATAAATGTCCTCGGCGGGCCGCATGTGGCCCGCGGGCCGTAGTTTGAGGACCCCTGGACTAGACCTTGGCGATGGACACTCACAGCTTTGTATGTAAAAAAGTCCAGGCAGCTCCAACATAGTGTTACAGAGCCTAATGAAAGAATGCTGCTAGACTAATTTGAAGTGAGACTTTGGATGCCAAACCAGAGCTGGTCGTGAACACATTAACCAGGTATAGGAGCTCCTTCACCACGTGTAGAACGACCTGATTATTCATGGAGAGCTGAGCGGGTGCAGTGTTGTATGACATTAAATTCCCAGGGAGGTGTTCTTTGGGTCTTTCGGTAAAGTCACGTCACTTAACCGAAAAACCCAAAGAATATGAATTCCTGCAGTTACGAAAGCTTTAAGTCAAGATTTTCCCAGGGAGGTGATCTTTTTGTAGAACATATGCAAGGCCCCATTTCGTCATGGAATTCTCCAAGTACAGAACACGATTCTCCAACTCAATATCATTGAGTAGCCATGACCAGATCATCAACATGCGTAACATAACCAGGCATCGATTAGCGTATCATTATTACTGTATGAAATGCATTTTTTATAGGGCCATTGTGAGCTTCTCAAAACACATAATTCGTTGAAAATTCTACGTAATGTAATGCATGGGGCCAGAGGGAATTTCGGCCACAAGCCAAATTGAACAGGAAAGGGATCCGACTCCACGTCACGCAGCTTTAGATGGGCCAGCCAAAAATCTTATAAATCCTCAACGAATGTGAGCAGAGGCAGAGACATCAAAAACAAAAAATAACCCAAAACCCCAAGACTCTTTATGGTACTACTAGCTGTACTACCCGGCTTCGCCCGGGACTTGGATCCACCACGCCCGGCCGCCTTTGTCTCCCCAGTGGCGATGTTCATACGCCACACCAGTTACTCGTTTTGAGGCTGAGTCGACCTAGGGGAGGCCCAGGACCGGTTCAAATAATCGTCACCGGTGGTGGCCGTGAGCGGAAATGGAACTCGGGTCGCCGGGTTCGTAGCGCGGCGCGCTAACCACGACACTACAATGCGTTACGCTTCCGTTGTAGGGTTTGTGTAAGGCGCGCCGATCCGTTGTAGGATTTGTGTGAGGCGTACCGATCCGTTGTAGGATTTGTGTGAGGCGCGCCGATCCGTTGTAGGGTTTTAGTGAGGCGCGCCGATCCGTTGTAGGGTTTGTGTGAGGCGTGCCGATCTGTTGTAGGGTTTTAGTGAGGTGCGCCGATCCGTTGTAGGGTTTGTGTGAGGCGCCGATCCGTTGTAGGGTTTTAGTGAGGCGCGCCGATCCGTTGTAGGGTTTTAGTGAGGTGCGCCGATCCGCTGTAGGGTTTTAGTGAGGCGCGCCGATCCGTTGTAGGGTTTGTGTGAGGCGTGCCGATCTGTTGTAGGGTTTTAGTGAGGCGCGCCGATCCGCTGTAGGGTGGTGGGGTGTCGAGGCCTAGTAGCGTGCAGAGCCTCCGGCCTCGCCTAAATTGCCCACCCGGCTGAGGCTGGGTACGGGTGCCATCCCCCCCCCCCCCCCCGCGCTACAATAATACTGTCTAATCGCTATAATTTTATTATCTACCGACCCTATAATAGTAATTGCACACATTGTGGTGGGGGGGGGGGGGGGAGTGAAGAGGACGTGAAACTTTGATGAATTTACCTCAGAGTCGCGTGTTAATGCGTGCACATATTTTTAACGGGAATTAAAAATGGCGTCCACCCCGCAGCGAATGCGTCGCTACCCGTTGCCAGGGGCAACCGCCGTCCAATGAAACTGTGTATGGTCCGGCGACACACAGACACACACACAGACAGACAGACAGATTTGCGATTTTATATATATAGATAGGTCATAATTACACCAAGAAAGCAGAGATCTAGTTTCTGCTGAAAATCCGTACTCCTGTGCTATAGCTGATGGACAGAAAATACGGCAGCCCCTTGAATAGCGCGGAGGTTACATTCTTGGAAAGTGCCGTGCGAAAGCTGAAATGCCGATATTCAATATTTAAGCCTTACCTAAATAATGGGATAAGGTAAACGGCATATAAAATATACATCACAATTGAAATAAGTACTGTACTGTATTCCCAATAAACTAAATTACTGAAATAAATGTGGAGAAACCATACACAAAACATTCCAATATGAGTATAAATGTATTTAAATAAAGCAGACTTCCTGTGTTTTTTTGAGAACCAAATTGCGCCAACACTATGAAACATACACACATAAAAAAAATCGATGCGTATTCAAGGGTAAGTTATTATGTTTTTCACACAATTTTTTGCTTACCTGTTCACCTTCAACACCTGTAACATCTGCACACTCCAACACCCCGCCACTGCTATATTTTTTCTCATTTACCACATTATCCTTACATATTATTAGGCCTGCATTTTTGCCACAAAATTCATTCAGTGCCGGCTCCTTACTGTCCTCTCTGCACACGCACGGCTCACCTCTAATATACTGCAATATTTCTCTAATGGAACCTTGCCAGTACCAAAATATGAGAATAGGTTTTCCCCGTTTTTCTGGCAACAAAACAGGTGTTAAGATGTTAAAACACCAAACAGAAACCTTTTACAAGGAATCATGTGTGCATTAACCACAACAATTGTGGTCAGAATGCAAACAAAAACACTCTGATAGAAAATACATGGTCTGCTGCTGAGGCAGACTGTTGTAAAAGGTTTGAAATGGGTGTAGCCCAAGGGTCATAAAGAAGTGGCCGGGCTAGTGATGTTAATGTGATACATTAGCATGTTAATATGAAATCGAAGAGTAGTGCAATCCAAAGCGGCCTCCCTACAAGACAGAGAAGGAGAGAGGCTCTACCTGGGTAAACAACAACTGCCACCACGACAACAATAACCACGATGTGAACTTCTCACTTCAGATCTCAGTGAGCGCGCACGAAAATAAATCACTTTTGCTAACACAGAGCGCACGCCTGGGATACACTGCCGAGATCATCGATGACCTCGCTGCCGAGAAAGTTCAGCAGTACCTGATAGGCACAACGGGGTTGCAGCCAGATGCGAACTGCCCATATCCCCCATTTAACATCCTTGCCGAGCACGCGCACGTGTGTGCGAGAGATTTGCTCGCGAGCGTGCGGAATTCCGACGACTGGGACGGGATAGCACCATTGCAAGTCTTCTTCCAGAGGAGGAGGTGAGGGGGGGGGCGAGGGAGCCTCCGGTACCCCGTGAGACAACCCCAGGATGGGTGGCAGGGAGGGAAAAAAGTATTTGATCCTCTGCTGATTTTGTACGTTTGCCCACTGACAAAGAAATGATCAGTCTATAATTTTAATGGTAGGTTTATTTGAACAGTGAGAGTCAGAATAAAAACAACAAAACTCCAGAAAACACATGTCAAAAATGTTATAAATTGATTTGCATTTTAATGAAGCAAATAAGTATTTGAACCCCTCTGAATCAGAAAGATTTCTGTCTCCCAGGTGTCTTTTATACAGGTAACGAGCTGAGATTAGGAGCACCTCTCTTAAAGGGAGTGCTCCTAATCTCAGCTTGTTATCTGTATAAAAGATACCTGTTCACAGAAGCAATCAATCAGATTCAAAACTCTCCACCATGGCCAAGACCAAAGAGCTCTTCAAGGATGTCAGGGACAAGAATATAGACCTACACAAGGCTGGAATGGGCTACAAGACCATTGCCAAGCAGCTTGGTGAGAAGGTGACAACAGTTGGTGCAATTATTCACAAATGGAAGAAACACAAAAGAACTGTCAATCTCCCTCGGCCTGGGGCTCCATGCAAGATCTCACCTCGTGGAGTTGCAATGATCATGAGAACGGTGAGGAATCAGCCCAGAACTACACGGGAGGATCTTGTCAATGATCTCAAGGCAGCTGTGACCATAGTCACCAAGAAAACAGTTGGTAACACACTACGCCGTGAACGACTGAAATCCTGCAGCGCCCGCAAGGTCCCCCTGCTCAAGAAGGCACATATACATGCCCGTCTGAAGTTTGCCAATTAATATCTGAATGATTCAGAGGACAACTGGGTGAAAGTGTTGTGGTCAGATGAGACCAAAATGGAGCTCTCTGGCATCAACTCAATTCGCCGTGTTTGGAGGAGGAATGCTGCCTATAACCCCAAGAACACCATCCCCAACGTCAAACATGTGTGGTGGTCAAGGTTGACACCAAGGTTGACACAGGTCACACAGGTCACACAAGCTAGGGGAGAGGTACGTACCGGTCTGGACCGGTCCGGACCGGCAGGGACGAGAGGGGGTTGGAACCGCTCTGAGGGGAGGGGGCTGGCGAGAGCCAGGGCCCCGAAACAGCCCCGCCCCTCAGAGAGAGGGGATATATAAGACGGCTCCCGGAGAGCGGAGGGGGTCCATCTCACCAGAAGCTGAAGGAGGTACGGCCGGAGATCCTGGACCCCAAGCCTCGAGGATGCCGCCCCGCTGGGACTGAGTGGGCTGAGTAGCTGTAGGCTAGGGAAGGAGAGTAATTGAGTAGCTGTAGGCTAGGGAAGGAGAGTAATGAGAATAGGGCCGGAGGCTGTACCTCCCTAGGTTGTGTGGTTGGGCTGTTCCCCCAGTGAGTCCGGAGGACTAGTGTTATTGGAATAAAAGCGTGTGGCCTCTACGAAGTCTCCGTCTCATTCAAGAATACTACAACTGGTGTCAGAAGCGGCCAAAGAACCTCGCCAACATGGAAACAAGACAGAAAGCGCTCACCAGGGGCCTGGAGAAGGACGTCGAGGGCGACGCTGAGCCGGAGTCGGGAGCGCCATTTCCGGGGGACGGGTCTGCGGGGGCGGGCTCGGGTTCTCCGGGGCCCTCCAGGAGTCCGCTGACGTCGAGATGGGCGATCCAGTCGGCCCATGCCCGGCTGGCCGATCTCCTCCATGCCGCTGCCTCCATCCTCGACGAGCTCACGCTGGGGGGAGCGAGAGCACCGGGTGTAGGACCAGGCCGGAGGATGGGAGGGGTTCCCGCCGAGAAACGCGCCATTCCCACGCGAAATTTTGACGTCACCTCCGGAGGGGGAGACGTCACTTCCGCCAGGAATGCGGCCGCCGGAGATGACGTCACTTCCGCTGGGGGGGTCACCGCTTCCGGGGGAAATGACATCAACCGCCCAGGAGGTCAGGGGGCACAGGTGGCCCGCGTCACATCCGGCATCGGCGGCCTTACATCGGGAGAAGCAGAGTTTTCGGGTAGGTACCCGCCGATTCGGTCGGATATTCTGCCGCCGGAAGACGCTTCAGATACTGCACTTGGGACGCTGCTGTCTTCAAGGGGGGACTACATCCCGGCGCTGCAACAGCGCTTGCCTTCACTGCAGGTTTTCGCGGCAAAGGGGGGGGACTGGGCTGCTTTTTCACGCCGTTTCGTGGCTAATGCCGAGACGGCTGGGTGGTCTGCCGACAACGCTCTCCGAGCCCTGCCTTCCGCCTTGGACGACGTGGCCTTGGCCACGTTCCTCCTTAATCCACGGAGGGAGCGCTCCACCTTGCAGGAGGCCCTCAATCGGATGGCCTTAGTGTATGGACCTCCATCTGAGACAAGACATCGTTTCGCCAGTCGGAGGAGGGAGGCGGACGAGACACCCCTTGCCTATCAGAGTGCACTGATGGCGTTGGCTCAAGCGGCCTATCCTCGAATGGACGATGTGGGCCTGGACTCCATCATGCTCGAGAAGTTGCTGCTGCTGGCTCGGGAACTGAGGATTGCCGTCCACGTCAAAGACGAAGCTAACCTTTCCTCGCTGGGGGCGGCGCATTACCTGCACACAGAGTTGCTCCTCCAGCGGGATGGGCAGGTGGCGGCGTACGCCGCTGCAAGAGTTGACAAGGTCCCGGATACCCAGGCCTTCGCGTCGCAGCGGGCCGCCAGTTGGAGGGGGGCCGACTGGCCTCGCCAAGGGGAACCCTGGCGGAGACACGGATCCCCGCGGGCGTGGGCTCGCGTCACGTGTTACAACTGTGGCCAGCTGGGTCACCTGGCATCGGGTTGCCCAGCACCCCGGCGCCGGGCTCCGGGTCGTCCACCATCGTCCGCCCATCCGCCGGCCGCTCCACAAGAACTCCAGGCATGTCGCGACACCTCACGCACACGGTCCCTGCCCGCATCTCATACACCGAAAGACCGCGAATCAGCGCGCCACTAAATCGCGTTGCGTTGAGGGGTGGGGAGCGGAACGGGGCTGATGTTCGGGGGCCACTTCGCGCGGTTCAGTGGTCCGAGTTGGCCCACAGGATCGTGGCCGCGGCGACGGGCTCGTCGGTTATTCTCGGGGATATTGAGGGGATTCAATTTTGATTGTTGGTGGATACGGGGGCTTCGGCTACTATAATTTCCGACCTCATATACAACGTGTTACCAAAGAGATGTCAGGCACTCGCCCCGTTCTCCATCCCTTGCTTTGCGGTGAATGGGGGTTCCCTGGGGATTATTGGTCAAATAATTGCACAAATTTGTATTGGCGACATTAAATTATCTGGTCCCGTTTTGGTTTCAGATGCCTTGGCCGTTCCCTGTTTGTTGGGTACGGACTTCTTGGGGAGGATGCCCATCAAAATTTTAATTGACAAAGGCTGCATCGAGCTTCCTTCGGGCCGCCTGATGGCGTTTCTGCCATCACCAAACTGGCTGCGCACAGCTTGCGCGACTGTTCCAGCTATGGCGTCTGAAACCATGCGGATTCCGCCGGGTGCGCAGATGCTAATACCGCTTCAGCTACGCAAACCACTGGAGGCAGACGCTACGTCGGGGGTTTTGT